AGTAAAATATAATGTACAGAACACGCGCGTCAAGACACTCAGAAGAGCTACAAAGATACTGTAAAAGTCAAAAAGCATAAGAGATTTTTTTGCTGTAGGATTAAAATTTCCTAAATTTTATTTCTGTTTCACTTTGTGCGTTGCTTATTATTAAATTCTATAAGAAAATGGTAAAGAATTCTTAAATAACAATAAGATCGGTCATATAATGAGCAGTGTATTTGCGTTTCCCCCCGATTATCCGCCTAAGTGCCAAAAGTATTTTTTATGTATTGTTACAACCTAATATTTGCGTTTCTGTGTGTTGGCGTTCAAAATTTGTGTTATAAGTAAACTATATTGGATCTTCAAACCCAGGACCATTATCTATACTACTGTGTCATTCTGTATAATGGAAAATCGTTATCTGACATCAGAAAACGTGCTTTGTTGTTATCGTCAGTATTTGGCATTAAAGTTTGCTGTGAGGAATTGTAAATTTAATGAATGACGTCAGAGCATGAAATGTAGCGCGTCTTATGAGCACTTGCCCCGAGGGATGCATGTTAATTGCAATAACAAAAATTAAACTTCATACTGAAAGATTATTCTAGCAAAATCAGTTTCAAGTTTCTACGTAATAACCTGTTTTGTTAAAGGAAGTTACTGAGTAATATATGAACTGTTTGCAGCAGTAGAATTAATTAAGTAACACGAATATGCCTGTCTTCATGCGCTGTTGTGTCATGTAGTCTTGCAGAAATGTGCTGGATGCCATCTCCATCATCAAAGCTATAATATGGAGACACTAAGCACCTCTGAAACGCCAGATGACAGGCTCCTTCATAATCCCCGCCGTGTGAGAACCTTAAATATTTATTTTTAAAATTTTTAATAAATGGCCACGTTTGAATTGCTCTCGTTACAAACTTGAAGATCCATAGTCTGTAAGGAAGTGCGATTATTACGCAAGGTCTGGTAAGATCAAGAACTCGTGTTATAAACAAAATGATTTATGTAATAAAGGAAGGAATTTTTCGTTGAATTTTCAGCGGTCATTACACATGTGCAAGTTATTCCGAATGCATTTGTGGAACAATTTTAAGGGCCCAAATTAGACTTTAACAATTTTTAGCGAATTAAATCCAGCAGATACGGGAAGCTTCCCTGTTGTAGGCCTTGCTCCTGTTCCCCGTGTCAAACTGACGGCTCGGATGGCGCCGGTAGGACCGAGAGAGACAAACTGAGACAAACCGCTGACACAAACTTCAGACAGAAGCGAACCCTCGGGCGAAGACCACTTTTTGGTCTTGCTTCTCGCATTTCCAGCTCAGCACAGCCCATTTCCAAGCAGTTGGAGTACCGGGTGGCCACAGAACCGTTCTCAGGCAAACCACTGACAACCTCTGGACGTTACACACGAAGCCAAGATAACATCAGTTCGTGGTTTAATGAAATTGTAGCAGTTCGGTTGACAAGATTACCAAGCTTACTCACTCAGCATCTAGTTGAAAACGACTTTTCGGCAAGCCGCTTTGCCTGCCATCATGTTGCCTCAAAGCATTGTACGAATGGTGATTTATTTCAAATATACTGAAGCATGTCTCACAAAGAAACAAGCTGTTCAAACCGTTTCAAAACGCTGACTTCCGGATCGTTCTCCATTACTGTACCAGTAGGCGGTACCGACCCGGAGTGAGTAAAATAATAAGAGGATTAGTTAAAATATCGAGAGAAAGTAGGTCATAATACTCGAGACTCGTATTCAGGAGGCAAACATTTGGAGCCTGAAACGAAGAGCTTGCTACCTTGGTTGACATTTTCCGTATTATTCGCTTTCCTTCCATAAATATAAATAGGCCGCGACAGTTTCTTCTCATTATTATAATTGTATTCTACTGTAAATTACTTATTAATAAATAATTCTTCGTTTTTTGAGACTTTTTTCAACGTCAGTTAAACAACGCCGAATTATATAGTGAGTGTGAATCATGAATTAGAATGGATGGTCGTCAGAAACTGTATTATATTTCATGGTAGTTGATATTAAAATCACTGTCGCCTAGTTGCCACGTGAAAGGTAACGCAGGCCGATGGTGACTATCGACATGCAATACGTATCATTTAAAATGCAACTCAACAATGATCACGTGATACGGAGAAAAGTGAGATCAATAGCAGGTACATCAACGTGTAATAATAGGTTCCACCCCACCCCGGGTTACACGTTAGTTGCTAGGCCGATGCTCACGCCAGTTACGAAAAATATGTGAAATAGTGAACATAGTTTATTCACGAGCAGATTTGCGAACATTACATAGCATATAAATCGTTTGCATTGTATCCTGACAAGGAAATACCGATTAAGATATCAATGTACCGACTGGTAACAAACTTTTGGCATATATAGCCAACAACATATATAAATGGCTAAAATAATGTTCTGCCACAAATATACGTGAGTTTTTAAATAGTTCACACAATTAAATTTTAAATACATATTTCCACAGCTGAGGTTCCTGAAAATACGTTGCAAATTAATTTAATATTTATAATTCAATATCCAGCAGGTATACTCTGGGTTATAAACATTTTCAGCCGACAGAAACCTATTATATTCATTCATTATTTTTCTTTTGGAATTATCGTAAATTAGAACGTTATTCTGTTCATCGAAATTAACCGTTTAAAAACCAGTGGTAACTATATGTACTACCTACCTTAAAAGTTAGTAATTCTACATGTTAATACTATTACTACTTCATAATTATGTAAATAACTAAATTCACAGCAAACCTGACTCCATCTGAGCGTAATAGTGGCATTATATCCTTGTGAAATGCATGGTATCACATTTAATTGGAACAATATATCTTAAAATGCGTATAGATGTGTACTATTTACGGAGTTAGAAATTGTAATTATTGAAACTGGACGTGTGAGTCGCTGAAGTGTGCTACACCTCTAGGTTTCGAACCTGTAATAGAAGGCCTTCTGCTGTTTACCATATCCACAATAATTTTGGGGCCCTCCCAGACTCCTAACCAGCTGATATCGAGGAAAAAGCAACTGTATTTTGAAGCTAATCACTCAGTTATATCCGATGCTGAGGTTTTGTAAGTTTAAAGCCTTATCTCCGCCTACCCTCGTAACAATTTATGGCCCAGATACATCTTTACTATTAGAATTTTCAGTAATACCAATATCTACAGATTATTTAAAATATCAAAATGATATAATCACTCATAATAACTGAATTATTATATAATTTTTTTAACTGCGGTTTATTTACGCTAACCTACATTGGCTTTTCCGACTACTTCCCGACGTAGAAGTCTTGGTTTCATTTAATTTTACGTAGCTCAGAGTTGCTGTTTGAGGCTTCGCTAAATCCCATTGTTTATGTACCTAGAACATCATGAAAGGGCTGTAACACGAAGACAATGTTTTATTCAAGCGAAAGCCTTAGGCTGTGTGACCTTTACTAACAGGAATGTCTTTAGAATATCTCTTCGACATTCCACAGTGCCTTGATCTTCGCTAGACGATCCCGCCAAAGGATGCTGCAAGGAGTATCATCTTGAAGGAGGCGCCTCATACACGTTTCTGAGTCAAGGGTCAAAAACTCTCCTGAATTCAAACCGAGAATAAGTTTTCTGAATAGATAACATAGCCGTGCCTTTAGTATAAAATTCTGCAGTATATGTGAACGTTTGTGCAATGCAGAGCGATGTTTGGTTACATTGATTATTATTGGTTATTGGTCGTTTGTACCACATCGTTAACAGAAGAATTTATACGTCCAGTTATTTGGGCCTCCACTTCTGATTTTTTTAGAGATAAAAAAACTGAAAAGATGTTATGGACTAAAATATATGTGTTGATATGTATATTTATTTATCTCTGCGTATAGACTAGTTCCAGAGCTCGCCAAACCATCTCTCCAGTGGATGTCAGAGTTTTCCCTCCGAGGTTAGACGTACAGGAGCGTGAAGCTAGTGGAAAACTTGGTCTCTTTATTTCCACACGTGTGTTCGTCTTAATGTTGTACAAAATCATCTTCAACAACTTATATTAAGAGACTTATAATAATAAAATGTAAACCAAAAATTAAAATGATCTGTAAGATTATTTAGTCTGCTTTTATCATACCGAATTTTATCCATATCGGTCCCGTCCTCTGGACACTTACCTGTGGACAACCGGACAGACAAGACGAACAAGACGATACTCTACTTTGGTAAAAGTAAATTCTTTTCTTTAGAGAATGATGTGACAATATGTCGTAAGTTTAAGAATGGTCTTCAGAATGTCATTATGATATTCGAATTTGGTCCATTTTATGTTCCGGAGCTACTGGTTTTAAAGAAAATGGGAACATGTGAATGGATTTTATGAGATTAGTGCGTCAGTTTCCCTGGAGACGGCGCGCTCTCCCATTACCTGCTTACACAGCCAGATGTTAGCGCTTCAGCTCGGGTTGTGTGTCCCAGGGGACCGACTTAACAGTCCCTACCTCCGCCTTCAGTCTCCACTCACTTCTCCAGGAGGAAAAGACAAACGAAATTGGACTAAAAACTTATATGTGCAGCTAGAAATGTACTCGTGTTTCATCTTTTTCCAGCGTCTTGCAACATGGCTGACCCTGTTGTAAAATAGGCGCGGGAAAGTTCATGCCCGCAGGGGCGTTCGTCTAGAATAAGCATATGGGGGTTTTCTTTTTTGTTTGTTCCCAGTTCGTTCACTTCTTTCATCTTATTTGTAAATTCAAAATTTCTTTATACTTTCTTTTGATACAGTCTACGATACTCACTCATCCCCTCTTCCCTATTTACATCCAACCAGGCCTTTTCCTCCAGCTTTACAAATTTTCCCTTCTTGCCTAGGGAAGCATTATTTATCCTTTCATCCTGTCTACTAAACCCGATCACATGCTATTTTCCGTTCTTTTTTTTTCCCCTTTGGACATGTCGAATCGGACTTGTAGTTACACTGAGCTCCGCATATATGTGGGGTGGCAGCACAGTGGTCGGTGCATCCCCATCCATATGTTGACATCGTTTGCGCATGACCGTGTTATATACCAGAGGTCACATCCTGCAAAATGAAAAGACTTGTTACTTACGTCCGTTATGACTGAGACCGCAAATACCTCTGAAACGTCTGTGAACTTTTACGAAACTACACGAAGAGAGACATGTTAAGCATATCTTTTTGTGTTCGGAATAGATCTGAGTGACATTTGATCTGAGGTGATGTTTCTGGATATATTTTAGAGTGTAATTTAGTCTCCTATCACAGCTTCAGAGAAACGTAAGTAACTCACTTGAATATGTAGGATGTCCAATTAGAGATGTCAATACGCACACTTCCTTGGCAACCAGGCGGATGTAAAGATCCAGGAAACTCAGTGTGAAGTTAGAACAAGTTTGAGCAGTGTAGGATACAAGAAGAACAAATAAAACGAATCATTAGCCAGCTGCAGTCTTAAAGGTGTTGTTATCCAGTTAGTTGGGGTCTACACACGAGTGCCTGGCTGGCTGCAGTCGACAAACGATGCGTTATATCTGATCACCTCCTAAAGTCCTTTTATTTTAAGAATTCGGAGTGGAAGCGGTTAACTTTGACGTTGTGGGTTTTTCTACTCAAATAACAGGTGTCAACAGAAATTAAAATTTACAGTCTACGAAAACTAACATTGTAATATGGGTACGGAGTGGCTGTCATAAGGAATATTGTGTTTTTATACACTCCGCCAGTATTTGCGCGTGTAAGCAGACACCTAGATAACGCTGCATGGTTGAAAATGGAATTATTGCATGTGAACCTTTGCTATAGTGAGTCATTCCGGAAGGAAGTTTTTAAGCAACAATTGCCCTCTTGAAACTATAAAGCGAGAAACTTTTCCCATAATGTTAAAACGATAAAACCGTTGTTACTAATAGTTCTGAGTTTATCTGGGAAAAAAAACTCATTTCCGTGCGCTAGAAGCAAGTTTATGAAGTTATAAATAGTTACGGATAATTTTAGAAGTGAATATCGACCTGCTCGTAGCTCAAAATAATTTCTAACACAAACTCAAGAATTCTGATAACAATAGCACTAGTTCGACATTATATCGTATACACTGCAGGCTACTATGTTTTATTAAACCTCTGTACAAGGCTTAATAATGTTCTTATTTAAGTAATTACACGCAGCAAAGTTTTCCTTCGTCACACAATTAGTCAGAAATGTCCTCGCCTTTTATGGAACTCGTAGGCTCATCAACGTCGTGAATAGAGCCAACTATTGGCAATTATCTAGAGTCACATGACTCTAGTCCACAACACTATTTCTTTAACCTCCATTTTAACACCAAATTATAGGTATTACGTAAGAACTAAATGAAAGTCTTGCGGTCAAGTGGGAAATTACAAAAGTTTGAGATTAGTCGATCGCCCTGATAATAGAGGAAGAAAATATCTTCGAAACGTCGATAAATTTTTACCATGCTCTATGTAGCAACAACCCAGAAGACATCTTCATAGTTTCTGCACACTTTCAGCGTCAGAGTCGGTTACCTTTACCACTTGAATTACTCTGACCTGAATGGGATCCCTGTTGATTTGTATTAAATTAATTTATTTAAGTGTTTGCCAATAGCAAGAAGCCAATAACAAGCAAACACTGATAATACATACAATAATAATAATAAAATAGTATTGAAAAATATTACACAAATAGATTAACTAAATATATACATGTACAGTATTAAATATAACAGTCAAATACAGGCAAACCCAAAATACTATAAACATTATTATACCCAAAGAATAAATAAATGAAGAAATATAAATTAAAGCAAATAATCCATCTAGGAAAACACTAATGATTTTGGCTTTAACTCCCTTGCCCATATTTCAGTATTACTTCAATGAGTCCGTAAATATTTGCAACGAAGCTTGATTTATGTCTGCGCATTAATATTGGTTATTGACCGATGTTTATTACATAACATTTCTTCAGTTCAGTATATTTTTGTCTTAAGCTAACGTGTTTAAAGTGACATTTATTTTTTTAATTTATTCCGCGTACTTTCTTGGCACCGACGTGGGTAAATAAATCAAATGGAACAGTCGTATGACATGAAGAATTAAATAGTTCCACCTTTCGTAACGTAGCCAAAACAAGCTTGTGGATTATAGATAATATTTAACACTGTACATAATTTATCGGTTATGTTAGTGGCTATTTAGAATCAAGAACAGTTTTTTGTCGCATCTAGAAAGAATTTTATTTAAAATTAAGATAAACATGCATGTAGGAATATGTATATCTGACTTACCAATAAGAAATTAAGTTATTGTGGGCTGTGGGATAAGTTGTCGTAACTTAACAGAATTAAAAATAAGTAGAAACAAATTAAATTTATTTTAAATCTTATTTAAAATTCCTGATCACCAAATGATTCGATTGCATACCTCAGAGACATTGACAGAAACAGACTTGGTAGGTGTGTTTTTAGTACAAATTAAACGCAAAAAAAAAGGAATTTAGTATAAATCATAGACAGATCGATTATGAATACAGAGTATGGAGTTTGTACAGTGTTATAAGTCGAATTCATGAAACGTAATGTTATTATTATTATTTTAGGCAATTTATAAACTTATGTCAGCTGCAAGAATGCAAACTTGAAATATTGTGCATGAGGAAATGGAAGGTGGTGTGAAGTAAAGTGGTCGTGGCTTATTTTAATATATTTTACCTGTATTTTCCTGTAATAACTTAATAAGACTTCTAAAATGTTTATTGAAGGTAGCCCGTGCCTCGTCCGAGATTTGTACAGCGTGCCTTCGGATTAAAAATCAAGAGCACTTCTGTACTCGCTCCTGCTTAACCCTTTAAAGGTTAATGAACAGCTGTTTTGTTGTCATTTCCACATAGGCCTACTGTACACATAGCATTGATTACTGTGATCCGGAAAGTTTTTAATCATTGTGTAAAGAAGACATCGTAACAAGTGATAAGCTAGCGATAATTTGCAATAATCTAAACATAGATTTTGATGTTTTCTGTAACCTTTGGCTTTGAACACTAACATTCTGAACATCGTTGCACATCATTCTCTTTGGATTTCAGCGTTCTGTTAACGGAGAAATGGGGACAGAACCATATATTTGAATTTAATGAGGTGTTGAGAACGTCTATAATTATTGTACATGGTTCAATAACGTTACTGACTTTAGGGACCACCCCAAGGTCCTCACATTACATTTGTTACATCTGTCTCCATCGCAAGTGAATGAACATTTGGGTTATGTTTCTAAAACAATAATATTTCATTTTATAGTGCAGTGATGCAGTATTTGAACTTTAGGTAATATTTAAACGCTCCCTCTTAAGATAGAACAACAAAATATATACCAGTGCCATTTCTTCGCCTTTCTGATAATAAGTTAAAAATCACATGCATATGTTAAATGTACATTACCTGTATAGCTAATACATTTTGGTAGCTAACTTTTATTTTCAAGTTATTAACACTTAATGATATATTATAAAGCCAATGATTTTGATAGTAGAACTTCCAGGACTGATTGAAATTGTTAGAAAATTCATGTAGGCCGAAATTTCAAGTCGATACTATGCGACAGTTGGTATATTACTGCAGTCATTTCAGATATGTAATAATATTCAATATATGATAATATTATTTTACTATTGTTTCAGTCATTCGTTATTGAATTAATTTGACGTTAGAATTTAATTTCTGCCATCCATAACACTTCTAGGAATTCGAATGTCTCCAGCGTTACGTCAGGTGAATAAATGGTACTGACCGTGGAGCGGAAACCGAAGCTGACAGCCTTGTCTAACCAGACAAATGAATTGAATTTTAGCAGCACCATTTTTTTTAAATCTCTCTGCGGTGGGCGAGAGTTTGATTCAATGTAAGGGATGTATTTTCCTGATACACACCATTTACATGCCATCTGAAACCCACCCAGTCCCCTGTCCAGTGGGTACCTGGTAACAATTTTTTGTGTTAAAACGTGATGCTGAGTGCATCTGATGTCGAGGTTAAGAAATCTTTGAGCGTTTTCACCGGGTGCATAATTATGGAGTCAATGCGGTATACAAGCCGAACTACTGAAAGTAAATTCTTCTTATTTTTCTTGGTATAGAAAGTTATCGACAGAGATTTTCTTTATGTAGTCAGAAAATCAGTGATTCATTAGAGTGGTCTCCAACCTGGGGTACGCGTACCCCAGGGGGTACTCGGAAGACATCTTAAGGGGTACGTGAAATTTAAAAAAAATATTATTTTATGATAAACACTGAATAATCAGTAATGTAATTTATTTAATTTATTTTAGATGTAGATTATATACTACGTATAACTTGAATTATACACCAACAACTTTGGGGGTACAAAGTTGAAGAGAAATTATATCTGGGGGTACGCGAACAAAAAAGGTTGAATACCACTGCATTAGACTACAAGGACAGGTGTTTAACCTCGCCCTCAGTGCATCGTAAATATTTAACCGTGTTTTGCATGTATATAGCGATTACCACATTCAGTGAGACATTCGAAGTGGTAATTCGGTACCGGTTAACCGTCGCTGGCAATGTGTAAAGTGGAAGCAGATTTCAGTAAGCAAGAGCGATTAGTGTGTTAGTAAATTAGTTACACTTAACAGTCCAATTCTATTAATATCGATAGCAGCTGTCATTGAGTCATGTTATGTGTCTCCTAGTAAAAGTTTCGTGTATGTTATATTTCAGCACGAATATCAACTGATTGAATATATGTCACAAGTTATTAACTTACGTTATTTAATATGATGAAACATACATAAGCAAAGTATTGTTGATATGATTTTGTTATCAGTATGTTTTGGGAGACAGAATAGGAAGATTCTGGGATAATTTTTACAGTTTTCTGTGGCTTTATAAATAATCCATTAGGATTCAGTGATAACGAGGTATTTTAATTTGTAGGGACGAGAAATTTACTATACTCTATCTTGATAAGTAAAATTATATTCATATAATTAAGGAATGCAATACTCCTGCTTCTCCGTTATTTATCTGTGAATTTAAAGTACAGTTATTATTTCATAAATTCCTAATGGGCAGAAATTAAAGTTGTCCCTGCCTCCACTCTATGAAAGCGCATTGGGTAGTGGAGGTTTAGCTCCATTATTTCGTGGCCTTAGAAGTAGATGGTGGTAGGTGGTCAGCTTCGACCCCTGTCCCCTTAAGGCCGGGAGAAAAAACTGAGTATTTATTTAATAAACATTATTCTGGTGTATATTTATACA